TCTGCTGCTGCGCTGATAATGTACCAAGTACTTATGATGAGTAGCGATACTGAATATTTGATTGGCAACAGATTTACCAAGCTGTCATTCAAACAGTATATATACAAATTTAGGGAAAACAGCCTAAGCTGGATATAGGCTACAGCAGTCGGCTTAATTAAATGGCGCAACAGGCAGCTCTCTTTTAACACAGACTTTTAAGAAGGGATGGATGTTTGCTTCAAGTGATAGGCCAGGTAAGTGAAATTATATTATTTTGCTGTATGTATGTCGTTTTCTTTACGTTTTCTGACTAAAAGCAACCAAAAAGCCATTTTAAAGTGGTTAAGCAAATAATAATAATAATCGGCAGGGATCCCAGACCAATACAATTAGTGTGCCTCCTCTATTTTAAAACCCACGAGCCGCCACTGTAAAGAATATCTCGGGTTTGAGACTTTAGGGATCTTATCTATTCACGAACAGCTTGTAACACTCCAAAGAGAAAGGAAAACTTAAAAGCACATCATATGACCCCTTTAAATTACAATAAAAAAGTTTATTAGTAGTAGTAACTGTCTCAACAACTGTCAGCTGGTCATGTCATGACAACATTCTACATGTAAAACAATAAAGCCTTTTTAGAAGTCCTTATTTCATGTGAGTAAGTGTTATTTTAAGGATTCTTTTCAAAAGTGTATTTTCTTTAGCGCTCTTGCAGCGGGTGCCCTGAAGTGTGGTTTCTCTCGCATCCGCTGGGTGTCTCTCGTGAGTGAACTCGTGAGCGCTGTTTATATGAGCGCGCACGGCCAGAGAAACAGCAGCAGCAGGATGGCGAGCAAGGACACAACACAGATTTCCCCACGTCCAACGCGAACAAAATTACAATGCGTTGGACTTCTGCGCCTTTTATTTATTGCATTTATTCACGTGGCACAGGCGGACAAACAAGGTAACCTCCTGAAGCGTGTTGTGTGTTTTTAGCTGGTTTTCGTGAGTCTGTATGGCTTGTATACATACCGCGGCTTCACTGCAAGCTAATAACTGTTAGCTTCGGCGCGTCAGCGAACAAAATCAATATTTAGTCAAGCCTTATCCACAATATTGAAATCACAGTTCTGGCTAGGTTAAGTTAGATGACATGTGACTGCTCATGCTGTTTTTTATTTTCTTGACGTAAAGCTGCTGAATAATATTGCTCAGTCAGGGACATTAGTTTAGCTTGAGTATTGAAGCTAACAGGCTTAGTCATATTACATTAGCTAACACATTAAACCTGGCTGAAGTTACTTTCTCTCTCAAAAACCAAACAATGAATAATGTGTTACTAAACTCTAACCCATCCAAGATAGGTTTTCACCTTTATAATAGAACGTTTAATGATTATGTTCACTCCCCATTGGTGGCAAGTTCATGTTTTGGGACTGTTTTGGCTAATAAATGCGGGTTTGACACAATGTTTTGCCCAATAAAAATAACGTTCATAATGTTTCAGACGCCAAAAACGTCATGTTAAAGCAATGTCAACTGGGTAAACGAGTGGAAGGTTGAAAGTATAGTGTTAATGTGAGAGTTTTGTTTCTGAGGCCCAGTCAGTCAGTGACATGTCAACTAACTCAGAGAGGGAGGAGGAGGTGGTGACTGCATACTGCAAGTTCATGTAAGTTTTTACTATATTTCTTCTTGTTGCTCAAGCACAGTTAAATACAGTAGGTCACTGGGAGTAATTTGTTGTTAAGTAGTGTATTATATAGAAATTGAGTTGTCTGATTGCATTTGAGGGGTTCAGCTTATTGGATAAAATGTAGAGGTCCTCAGACATGACACTGTAAAAAGTCTTATCAAAGTGCAGAACACTTGGTACACTTGCAAGTGAAATAGTCAGAGTGCACTCACAATCCAAATATCAACCCCTTGACAGGGCAGATAGTAAATCCAGTGCTTGTTTATTTTTTGACTGTTTCTTAACTAGTTTATTACATGTATTGAAATTACTCTTGAGTGTCAACAGACAATTAAAGGGTTACTTCACCCAAAAATGAAAATTCTGTCATCATTTACTTACCCTCATGTGTGTGTAAACCTCTTTCAGTCTTTCTTCTGTAGAACACAAAAGAAGATGTTATAAAGAATGTTGGTAACCAAACAGTTTTGGTGACCATTAAATTCCATTGTATGGACAAAAAACAATCAAACAATAATTTCAGAAAAAAGTTATACGGGGTAACATGAGGCTGAGTAAATGATGACAGAATTTTTATTTTTGGGAAAAATGTCCCTTACTTATCAGTTGTCAGTGGTCGAGTCGACCAATGTGGGCTTTACTGTAACCAACGTCAGTGTCTATAGAACATTTTGACTCACAGTATGTAATAAATGCAAAACACTGTTACACATTTTGTTACAACTGTAATCGTTCTCTTGGGCTGTGATCCTGTAATAGGGTTTTCCTCAACTATGCACAGTGGGAAACTTTATAAAATCAGTTAAAAAAAAAACATTTAAAGGGGTCATATGATGCGATTTCAAGTTTTCCTTTCTCTTTGGAGTGTTACAAGCTGATTGTGCATAGATAAGATCCCTGAAGTTGCAAAGACTAAAGTCTCAAAACCAAAGAGATATTCTTTATCAAAGTTAAGACTCTGCCACGCCCCCCTAAAACGGCTCGTTCTAACACACCCCACATATCTACAGCTGGCCAATCAGAGCAGACTGCTTGTCGGAAGGAGGGACTTTGTAGAAAACGAAGCGTTTGAGAGAGGCGGGGCATAGAGGACCTACAATAATGTACAGTATTTGAAAAATGTGTTTTTTGAACATTAAAGCATGTCAACATATTCTGTTACACCAAATACACAAAAAAATGATCTTTAAAAAAGCATCATATGACCCCTTTAAGCCATTTTTGCTCAGTTCTAGAGTTGGCATAGTGTTTTGGCTTTATAAGGAAGAATCATACAATGACAAGATTGTCAGGAGATTTTGTAACACGGGGAGGAACACAAGGAGACGACAATTAATCATCTTGGCCAATGACTCTTTATCACTACTTGTGTCGTGTAGGTAGTCACATTAGTTAGGTATAGCAAAAGCACAACATGCTCTAAATGCTTGAAAGCTGTAGATCATTGAAGATGTGTGATCTTTGCCCTTCAGAGACAGCATGTTTCTTTTCTCCATAATCCCTGGATTACTTTGCTTCTTTTGCTTGGACAGTGGGGCAATCCAAAGGTGATTTTAGGTCTTAGATGTGTGTTTGCACCGTAGTGAGTTTTTTTTTTTAGGTTGGTGTAGACTTGTGCCGGTATTCGGTAATACGATATATCACGGTAATGAATATGCACGATATTGTTATGTGGGCACTTCTAAATACCGTGAATAATTATATATTACAAATTATTCCGAATTTTGAATGAATTTTAAGAATACTTTTCCCATCAACTGGTCAAAATGCACAACAGCGTTGTATGCTGCGTGAAAGGGTGGTTGTCAGAAATGGATGTTGATAAAATCTAAAATCTAAAGCTTAATTTGGGTTGAATGAGATCCATTATTTTTATATTATAAAGTCAGTTATTCAGATCTTGCAATTGTAAGTTCAGTTTTTTCTTGTGAATGAGAAATATTGATGGTCTTTGCCAGATGACAGAGTAATAAGCCTATTTCTCACTTCTTTCTCTTTGGAAGTTTTAAATGGACCTAATAGCTACAAAGAGACCACACAGAGGCTTGAGCAGATGGGTTAGTGCTCGTTGTGAAGCACGTGTGAGTTGTTAAGTGTTCTCACTCTTGCCTGGAAATGAATGCACCACTATTTCATTTACTGTGTCAACCCAGTTATTGACTGGAGGGACTCACTGAGCACATGGAGTGTTTTTTTCCTCGTTTTTAAGCAGGAATGTTCTTAACCCCTTGGTTCCTTCTTCCAATGAGACAAGAATCCACTTGGCATGTGTCAGTAAAACGCTGACTGGAAAGTTTGCAATGACAAGCATGTGTTTGTTTAGGAACTTATTAAGATGCTATGATTGCAACAACAATGAATACCCAAAATGCATATAATATAGTATACTGTAGTAATATGTTTTTATAATATGACATCTTAAAATATATAAAATATATATTTATACATATTATATTAGTGGTCGACCAATATATCGCCAAGTAGGGCTGTCACGATTATGAAATTTGGCTGACGATTAATTGTCTAAAAATAGTCACGGTTATTGCGATTAATTGTCTGTTTTAGGGCTTTCGTTATATAATTGATTAAGTTTAAGGGTTCAGTAAATAATTATGATGTTATCGTTTAATCTTTTCGAGTTATTATTTTGCAGTGTAAGATTACATAGAGTATTCCAAATTCTAAGAATCAGCCAATACCGATCCAACACAAGCGCTATTTTTTTTCTGCACCACTACAGAATATCAATACTGTGTTTGTGGAACTAATGGTCACTCTTTTAAACCCTTTGTTAAACACAATCCACCAAATACTCACTTCCTCATTACAGAGAAAAACTACATTTGAATAAAAATATATAAGCTATTAAATTAAACTAGCTGACTGTATAATAACCATTTTTTCTGCCTGTGCGACTAAATTTTTGTGTGCTGTCGCACTGGCGCGACCACCGCGTTGGTGAACTCATAAGCGCTGCAATTTCTGTTGCATATGAGAAACATCAAACAGCAAATGAAACTGAAAGCATAACGAAACGGCGCTTAGAGTATACTCGCCGCATCAGCACGAGCGCCAGGGTGCGCGCAGCAAAAATGACGCGCATATTGAGGAAACGATGGATGGTTTTCAAGCGAAAGTCAAGTAAAAGACCGCTTCTTAAACCAGAGAAGGTGAACATGCTGGATTTTCACTCGATAAACACGCTGACAGAGAGCTTGAGAGTTTCGCTGTCCATCAAGCGATCTGTACTATTTGGATGCGCTCAATGGATCATGTTTCCTTTGGCATTCTTCAGCTTTTTAGAAACTGACGCTTTCTCCGGCAGTGGGCGGAGCTAATGCGAGAACAGCTCTCGTTGGCTGGCGCTCATCTATTACCGTCCCGGTTTTGATTTCAGCAAATCAGTTCGAGCGAACGCTGACAACGTGATTAATAT